ACTCATTTGAAAATGTGTAACTTCTAGCCCATCAACAGACAAATGGACAATGAAAGTGTGACATACACAATGGAGTTGTAGTCAGCCATTCAGAAGACTAACATGGGATGGGATGGGGAAAGACGGGAGAGAATGATGCAAGGGGTGACACTGATCAAGATGCATTGTGCTCGTAATCTGATCTGTGGAACTGAAATCCTTTTGTACAATGAACTAATAAAAGATAATGAAATGGTGTCTGTTATTGCAAAATGGAGGGAACTGGAGATCATTATAATTGAGTGTAGTAAGTTAGTTGCGCAAAGATGAGTATGACATTTTCCCTTGTCTATAGAAGCTAGGGTGAACAAAATAAAACAACAACACAAAATCCAAAATAATGAAAGCAAAGACAGCTAGAGAGGTGGAAAGTGTGGGGGAAAGAAGAGGGGCTAAGGAGTGGATAAGAAAGAGTACTACATTGCTATTTACTAATAAAACATTCACTCTTTCATGAATTATCTCACTTCAACTTTTTTGTAGCTATTTTATTGTTTCTTGGGTAAGCACAACAAAGCCAGGAAAAATGAGGTGAGGAATAAAATCAACCAAATTGCCCAATACAAGTCCTCTTGATGCATGCTAACATTTTTTCTTGATTGTCGTATTTATACTTCTATATTTTTCTATATAGTGAAGGTGATAAATTATCATCATCTACCTCATTAGGCTACGGACTAAATATGGCTAACTCTGAGAAGATATTTCCTAACAATAATAAATATTTCATGCAATCATCCTAAGTACTTTTTATATAAAAAACTACTGACTTGCTTGCCTTTGATTCTAGCAGGAGAAAAAGCAAAAGTCCTTCCTTTCTATTTCAGAGTCTGAGGGACAAGCTTTTCAGGCTTTCAGAGGTGCTTTCTTATTTCACTGAACTCATACTTTTTAAAAGTATTTTTTAAATAAAAACACACTTCATAGGCATAGAATTTAAAGTCATTTAAAACAGTAAACACCAATGCAAAGCTCTCAGGTGTAGTTTAAAGTTTGTGATTTTACACAATATCTCGTTAATTATTCCCTTTATAGGAAAAGCATCCCTGGTTACTATTTCATACTGTGTGTGTGTGTGTGTGTGTGTATGTGTGTGTGTGCTGGTCCTGGGACTTGAACTGAGGGCCTAGGTGCTGTCTCTGAGCTTTTATGCTTAACTATGGCTCTACCACTTGAGGCACAAAGCCTCCTGAGGAACTAGTATTACATGCTTGAGTCACATGCTTTTTAGAAAGATATGTATGCATAACTTTCATATTTTGGAGGAATAAGAGAGGTAGGGTTTTGTTTTTCAGAATAATGCTGGCATTTATTAGGAAATATTCTTAACAAAAAAAGATACGTTTTTTGAAATATAAGTAACCTGGAAATGTAGTAAGTTCATTTTTACTTATGATGTTCATAAACAAATTATCCTTCTTCAAAAAATATTGATGAGATTTGTGAGAACTCTCAAAGGAATTGGATTTAGAGGATTCAATTCAGCTGACTTACTAGTGAAAAAGTGTTAAGTGTTATCAAGGGAGGTATCTAAATTCAATCTTCTGTCATCAAAGACAGTAAAACAAACACCAAAGTGATTTAAATAGCCTATGGAGAATCTTACTTTATCTCTATATACCTTATTAAGATAAGGATTTTGAAATGAAAATTGTAATTACCAATGACAGTTTGCATTGTACAAAATAATTTTTGATTATAAACTTGTTTCAAAGTGATTCATTATTACTAGATATGATTTAGACTAAAGATGAAGTTTTAAAATAAATTCATTTTCCATAATTTTCCTTTTAAATTAGTGTTGGAATTTTTTCTAGGCATGTTTAGTTCTTTTGGGCACAACCCTAATAAAGGTTAAAGAGAGGAAAGAAAAGCTGTCCAGTTTCCCTGTTACCTTTTGAAAGCCACCTTCCTCTCCTTTGACACTGAGGAAATAAATTGGCTTAGAAAAAACCATGTTGCAGGAGTTCTAAATATTTAATGCTTGGCTGAAATGCTGATAGAGGGAACAGGTGTGGAGGAGAGGAGAGTTGCCTGTCAATGTGGGAAGTCACAACTCAGCATTGGCTTTATTCATTCATTCATTTATTTATTTTTGTGCCAGTCTTGGTGCTTGAACTCAGGGCCTGAGCATGGTCTTTGTTTTTGTAAAAGCTCAAGGCTAGCTTTCTAACAATTAAGCCACAGCTCTACTTCCCTTTTGTTGTTGTGGGTTTTTTTGTTTTGTTTTGTTTTGGTGTCAATTGGAGATAAGAGTCTCAAGGACTTTTCTGCCTGGGCTGCCTTTGAACCACTATCCTCAGATCTCAGCCTCCTGAGTGACTTACAGGTGTAAGCCACGGGCCCCTGGCTTTCATTCTTTTTAATTATGAAGCTGAGGCAGGAGTTCAAGGTGAAACTCTGTCCCCAACACTCACCAAGAAAAATAAAAAACAAGCAATAAGGAAAACCTTTTTGTATTAAAAGAAGATTTCACATTTAGTTTGTTAAAATCTGCAACTTGAAATTTGAATACTGTGTTTTTCTGTAGGCTAAGGAAGAGTGATATGTTTTCCTCTTGGAATCTTGTGACTGTATTACATATTGTGACACTGAGATTGTGATGTTTCCTATATTGAGGTTATTTTTTATTTCAAAATTGTTCTTTGATATGTTAAATGGTGCTCATAAAGGACAAAAAGATAAACTTCTGCAGGCTAAAAAAATATTACAATTAACTTTGTGCCATCCTTTGGTCATTTTGAGTATCTTAGTCACATTAATTTGCCAATTTAACAGAGCAAGTAGAATTCATTACTATTGTGTTCATCAAGATGAAGATGGCTTTTAGGAAAGTTTTATTTAGCCTTATAATATTTCCTTGTCAACCACAATAGCATAAGTACACACACACATACACACACACAGATACACACACCACTCATGTATATTATAATTTACCTCCAATACTAAAACAGCTCAGATAAAGGAGGAATAAGGAACTGATAATCAGGCACTTAAAAAAAAAGTACTCTGTTATTCTCTTTAACATGACCAAGATAAAATCTGGTTTCAGTTTCTTTGGACCAGAAAGACATTTCATTGAATTTCCTGAAGGGCAAAAAAAAAAAAAAAAAAGTGCATAAAGAAAGTTTGACAAGATATTTAAAATAAAGTAGCACATACATATAGTCAATATGCAATATGCAAAACAATTCATTAGGGATTTCATTTGAGTCTTCCCTCTTTATTTTCCATCCAAGAACCACAAAACCTCCTTATTTCTCATTACGTCGTCATAATATAATAGACACAGTAAACACAAACAACTCATCTTCACTGCGCATTCCACTGGGGCAGCAGAGTCTGACTGGCCCCACATGAGGAACTAAAGTCTTACCACCACATCTTAGAAGCACTAGGTTATTATTGGCTCACTCTTTTATTCTTTGAATGAATTTGAAATTAAACACATCAATTGCAGATTCATTCAAAGAGATATTTATGAAGCTTAAGTATTTTTGAAATATATCATTTCATTTAGCTAGTTTTCCTTAAAGATCCCAAATACCACAATGAATACAGGCAAAACATTCATGGAAACAAATTACCTTATGTACAATTCAACCTGATTCCTCTCCATAAAAAAAATGATGAATTTATAATATGAAGCTTAAAATATAGATTAATATTCAATGTAATGCTCAGTTTGCTAATTAGGCATGGCAGTACATCATTTAAACTTTACAATTGCAAACAAAGTCACAGTGGTAATATGATCAGTCTCAAATATTCAAATCGAGGGATTTATACGCTTTGAGGAAGTTACCTTTTACAACAAATGAATACACAAAGGATAGTTTAAATGAAGACTCTACTCTGATCCTGAGTTCCCAAGTACAAAGAGCCTTTGTGATTGGATAAGAGTTAAAGGTAATAATCACTAAGAGTTAAAAGTGACCTTTCACTCCCTTAGGAAGTAATTGAAAAAGAAAAGGGCAAAATGTATCAATCTAACAACGCTCCTACTCATTCTATAGAAAATACCTGCATTTGGAGCTCTTGATTTGAATATGATCCATTCTCTATACTAAGTCAATATATTCCCCACATGCAATAAAGTTTTAAATCACCTGCCTGTGCATCTAATAAGTGGCGAGAAAGGTTTATTGTTCCTGAGAGCAAATGGAGTCATCATCAAAACTCAAAGAACTAAGACAAATAAGCTCATAATTATGTGCATATATTAAAATCTCACTATCCTCATGCACTCAAATTACCTAGACTTCACATACTAATGTAAAATCCTGTCACGTTCTGAGAGGTTCATTTTATTTTCATTTTCATGAAAATTTGAAGTGAGCTCTTCCTGGCATTAATTTCTTTGTGAAATAATAGCAATTAGCATTTGCTGCAACATTGACTATAAAAGTTCAAAATAAAATATAATCTATATAATATAGTAACAAATAATAGAAAGGAAAGCATAAATTCTAACCACTTTGTCCTCCTTTGGGAAAGCATCCAGGGAAGCATGAGAGAGGAAGAAGAAAAAGAAGAGAAAACAAAATGAGCCATACATTCATAAATACATTTCAATAAAACAAGCATATCTATTTTTCTTCAAAGCATTTTGATCAGTAAATGTGTTCGTTGGAATTCCATACAACCTACTATATGGTAGATATAAGATTTGAATATTGTAGTTTACAAAAAATTGGACTAATAAATCTACTTTTCTAATATTCCTCAAAAAAGGATTGATTTATTACCATATGTATCTTATTATTGTGTTGCAAACAAATATTTTAGTAAAACATAAATGGTGTTAATCCAGAATCAATATAATATTAAAGTCACAATTTAGAAATATGTAAAAATGGGCAATGTTTGTAACAGATCATTGAAGGGAAAATATGTTAAGTATTTTGGCCATAAATTATTCCAAAAGCAATATTTACTTGTGATATCATTATGCCTAAGACAGAAATTTCAAGTTGGGACCTTTTTTCTTTGTTTCTGTATATTTTTCCAAAGTTGGGCTGTTTCAGGGATGGGTGAACTTCAATTTCCTCCTCTTCAAAGAGAAGTGCTTCCTAGATCAATTGTCTTTAAACACCATCTGCCTATGAAAACCTGAATTTGACCCTGATGATTCCAACACTTGTCAGTTGCTGACTGTATTGCTAAGGCTGGCCTCTGATCTATAGTGGGAATTGAGAGAACCCAGGAACTCTGGACCCTTGGTAGCAGTGGAACTCAGCTGATTCACACCTTATGCTTCACTGCCAGCACCTTACCAGACTATGTGTGCCTTTACTTTTCAGGTTCCTAAGTGTTTAGATTATCACCTCAAGCTCTCACATCATTCCAAAGGATCTATTTAGAAACACTAAAAAAAGGAGAATTAACACATATATCTGGTGTCATTTCTATGTGCCAGACAGGATCTTAATATCCAAGCTTGTTAGATGTGCTTTAGGATAATCTATGAGCATTAATCATAATAAATAACTTTTCTGAGAAAGGAAAAAGTAAAACTGAAAGAAGCATGGGACTTAAAAGACTAATGACTATTAGAAAGACATGAATTTAAATTATTTTTATTTTATTTTGATAATGACTAAGGAATGTAATGAACTGTTGTTCAGAAAAGCTAATTATCTTCCAAAAGCAACAGAAATAATGACAGTCTTACTTTCAAATAGAAAACAAGTCTATTATACTCAGTGCCTCAATTCCATTGGAGGAGATTTTTTTAGAATATCCCACTTAAAACTTAAAATACCAAAGAGTAACATGTCTACTGGGTAGTTTATTTAAACTGCCATTTTCCAAATAATAAAAAGATGAGGAATATAACTGTACATTAAGTTTTATACCTGATTAGGTGATATAAGGAATCTTAAATAAACACTAGAAATCTTTTCATCTATGATCATCGTAACTGATTTATTATATGCAGATCCAACTAAAAGAAAACTCATCCAGAAGTAGAAATGGTTCTATTATACTAGCTGGAATATGGAATATGACAAACTATAACATCCAATGTCTTCTAAACTAAGTGCTCATTAGAATTGGTCCAGAAGCCAGCGGTTTACATCTGTAAACTTAGCTACTCAGAAGGCTAATATCTGAAGATCACCGTTTGAAGTCAACCTGGACAGGAAAGTTTATAAGACATCTTATCTCCAATAAACTACCAAAAAATTTAAAAAGCTATAGGTAGAGCTGTGACTCAATTGCTGGTACTCAGCAAAAGGAGTTCAGGAGCAGAGACCAGGTCCTGAGATCAAATTTCAGGGCTGGCAACAGAAATAACACACAAACAAAAAACTATTGGCTAGCATTTTAAAGTGTCAAAATTTTGTGCTGGCCCAACAAGAGAATAGAGTTTAAGTCAAATAAAGGCAGTATATATCTATATATCTAATACATAGAACTGCACATCTCAAAAAATAAAAGAAAAGTAAAAGGTGTGTTTTTGTTTTTGTTTTATCAGTCATGAGACTTGAACTCTGGGCCTGGTGATTACAGGTGTGATCCACCGGCACCTGGCATAAAAGGTGTATTTTTTTGTTTCTTAAATAGCTAAAAAAACTCCCGTAAGATGAATGTGGCACTATATTACTTTAATGTGTCAGCGATTTTAATTTTGAAATCACCATGGACTTTAACTGTTGCTTAATATATTATTTTGTGTTAAGTTTGATGACATACATAGTACCTTACATTTCACGTTAATTCATTCTGGAAACTACTGTTGCATGAACTAAAAGTGGTTAACAAGAATTGATCTTAACAACTTCCTTAACCAAGTAAAAGTGTAACGTTACAAGAACTGATTTTTTAAAATAACTTTCTAATTGTTTCCTAATATATAATGATACTAAATTTACATTTCATATTCTTCAGAAACATATTTATAGCTGGGCACTGGTGGTTCACACCAGTAATCCTAGCTACTCATGAGGCTGCTATCTGAGGATCAAGATTCAAAGCCAGCCTGGGCCAAAAGAGTCAGTGAAACATCATTCTAGAGGCGTGGCTCATGCGGTGGTGTATCAATCGTGAAATGAGGGGAAAGGCTCACAGTGTACAGATCTGAGCTCAACCTGGTATTAGGACAACAAGCAAACAAATAACAACATCAAGGTAATCTGACGTTGATGGGACAAGGGTCATTTATTATGCTGCGCCTGTGTGGCAAGTTATCTTTCTGGTGTGTCAGTCCTGGAGCTTGAACTCAGGGGCTGGGCTCTGTCCCTGGGCTCTTTTGCTGAAAACTAGCTCTCTATCACTTTGAGCCACAGGACCACTTCTGGTTTTCTGGTGGTTCATTGGAGACAAGAGACTCACGGGGACTTTTCAGCGCGGGCTGGCTTTGAACCGCGATCCTCAGATCTCAGCCTCCTGAGTAGCTGGGATGCCAGGCGTGAGCCACCGGCGCCCGGCTGGCAAAGAACTTTGTAAGAACTACATTCATGCTCCGTGCATCACCTTCATAATCACAAAGAAGAACCCTAGTCATCCTTATTCCACCTTCCGAGCACACGAGCGCACGGAGGCCGGGTGTGAATGCGTGCATCGCGTGGGGCACCTGCTCCCGTGCACACTCACGCTGTTGGACCGCAGGGACACGCGGCCTCCGCAGCGCGCACAGAACTTGGTCCGGCAGTAAGAGCACAGGTGTCCACACCCGTCCGCGAACTTGGTTTTGTGGCAGATGCCACACGTGGGCGCATCATCCTTGTGCTCGCCCTGGTAGCGCCTGGCTTCTTCTCCTATTTTTCTCACTTGTTCTTTATAGCTTTCAAACTGTTGGTGCAATCTCCTGGGTAGAGAGAGAAAAACCAAGGGGTAGGAAACTAAATAAATCATGGCAGGCAAAAGACATGAGCAACTTCTTTTTTTTATTTTTTGGATTTTTTTTTTTAATTGGTGTTGCAAGGGGTTTCCCTTTCCGGGGTTGGGTTTTTGATTCCAAGGCCCTTTTCATGGCCCCGTTTTCCCCTTTTTTTTGCTTTTCCTTTTCCCTTCTTTCCCTTCGGGGGAAGGCGGTTCCTTTTTTTTCCATTGACCTTTGGTTTTATTACGGCTTGCTTTTGTTCTTTTTCCTTCCTTTTTTTTTCCTTCCCCCCCCCCCCGGAAAACACCACCACCACCTTTCTTGTTTTTCTTTTTGTTAACCGTTGCCTTTCCTTTTTCGGGGTTTTACCCCTTTTGGTTTCTTCCCTTGCCATTGGCACTTTTTTAGAGACAAAAATGCAAGAAGAGGTATTTGAGTGAAAAAGAAAACATAAGAAGCTCTTTTCCTAACTAACCTACAAAAGTAAGAAATGTAATTAATGGGGCTGGCAAGGTGGCTCAGTGGTAGAGTGCTTGCCTTGCATGCATGAGGCCCTGGGTTCTATTCCTCAGCACCCCTTAAGGCGGGAGTTGTTGTTTTGGTTCAGTTGTTGGGTTGTTGGCTTTGGGTTTGAGGGGTTAGGGGCCGGCTTTTGGGGCCGGGTTTCGGGCCCTGAGCCCCACAAACACAAAAACCAAAAAGGGGAAGGAATTAATTTTATTTGGCTTTTTTTCCCTTACTTGTTCCCCCTTAGTTTGGGTTGTTTTTTGCCCGGGACTTTTCCGTGTTAGCAGTGGAATTCCTGTGCCTCATGCTGGCTTTCCCATTTCTTTCAGTCAGATGCTTTGAAAGTATTTTAACTATAAATTCATCACATTAAGTTAGACCTTTGTGTTCACTAAAATGGAACAACGTGTTTAGCCTTACACTGTGTGGTTCCCTCTGGTAGTTTCTATCTGATTAATTTTTTTAAATTTTATTTTATTTGTGAACATACTGTACAGAGGGGTTATAATTGCATGGGCAGGATAATGCGTACATTTCTTACCAAGCATTGCATCCTCCTCCTTTGTTTACCCTTCACATCCCTATCTGATTAATTTTTAAATGTTGATACCAAATAAAATTCAAAAAAGTTAACTCCAGTATCTTGTTTCCATAACCTCTCTTTGGAACATGATGTATACTTCGAAAAATACTGATTCAAACTACATTGCTAGCTAACTGTCTTCTTTTGGATGAGGGACTACCAAAGTTATTGATACAAGTTGTTTCCCAGAACAATATTCTTATTTTATAGGGTTCAACTTTTGCCCTCTCTGCTGTTCTCAATAAAACACTAGAGCACCTAAAGAATTCTTCGGGGGAAGCATGGCTTCCTTTGGCACACGAGAGCTGGGAACTTTGTCCTAAGCTAAGCCTGGCTCTTTGGCCAGGAAATCCCATAAGAAATGTCTGATCAAATTCACCTGTGCATCAGAGCTACTTGGCTGGGTTGGAGTATCTGCTAAACACAGGATACACAGATGCCACCATTAATCCAGTCAGGTAGCTTGATGCAACTACATCTGAGGTTACTGTAGGGAACTGGACTCTCTAGACACAGAATCAAGTAAGCCTGAGATTTCATTGTAATTTTACTTGTAACATCTAACAGCTCTTGAGAAGGATTCTATTCATTACTTTCTGCTTTGCCAATTGAATCTTTTCTTATTTAATTCTCTTAAGTAAAGCAAACACATGTATTACCACAAAACATAATTTAATATCTGAAACTAATCTCAATTTAAAGGCTAGCTAATTTCATTTCATAGAATAATATATGTAAGCAACATTTTGTTTAATGAATTCAAGAACATGTTTAATACATTAAATATTTAACTGGGCACCAGTGGCTGAAGCCTGTAATCCTAGCTACTCAGGAGGCTGACAGCTGAGCATTGAAGCCAGTCCAAGCAGGAAAGACTGTGTGATTCTTGTTTCCAATTAATCTGAAAAGACAAAAGGGGAGCTGTGGCTCAAGTGGTAGAATGATAGTTTTGAGCAAAAAACTAAGGGCCAGCACAAAGGCCTTGAGTTCAAGTCCCAGTACTTAGCACACAAAACAAATGTGATCATATAAAACAGCACTGAAAACCTTATAGATTATATTAAGTGAAATAATTACTGAAGAATTAGAGCAAAGTAATATTTCCTGTAAGGAAACAGAAATAAGCTCTACGAATACAAAGACTGCAGGAATGAGTCCTTAGTGTGAGAATACCACATCAAATCTATTTCACTAAAGATAAATAAGCACAAAGCTGGGGTTAGGGAAGCACATCCCTATATTATTTCTATATTATAGAACATGATTTAGGGTGAGCATTGCTATACTTCAGTGCAAGGTCAAATTGTAAGCATTGTAGGCCATATTGAATATATAGGTAGTCTTTGTTACAACTACTAAAGTCCACTGCCCAGTCAGAAAATAGCCATAAATTCTATGTAAATGAATGTGTGTAGATATAGATAGTAGGATCCAGGCATTGTGAATCACTTCTATAATCTCCACTACTTTAGAGACAAAAATAGTAGCTCTGTCAGAGACCAATACCAGCAAATACTCGATTATCTCTGAAAAGCAAACTGAAATCAAGACTAAGGATGTGGCTCAAGTGGTAATGCACTTGAAAGTCTGAGCTCAATCTCCAGTACTGCCAAAAAGAAATAGAAAGACAGACAGATGACAGACAAACATATAAGATAGTAGACCAGATTTGTTCATGGACAAGTTGGATTAGTTTGTCATCCCCTGGCTTAGTATCTGATTTATGTTAACATACAACAGTTTGAAAACCAAAGCCTCTTTGAATTTTTAAATTCAGATAGAAAAGAAGTCCAATGCAGGAAACATCTATTTCAAGCCAGATGTCAAGATCTCACTCCAGTGTCCTAGGTACTCAGGAAGTTGAGTTCTGAGGATCACTGGTCAAAGCCAGCTCTGGTAGGAGGTCTGTGAGACTCTTATTAATGAGCAAAAAAGACTCTTATTAATGGGCAAAAAAGCCAAAGTGGAGCTGTGGCTCAAGTGTTAGTGCTCTAGCCTTGAACTAAAAAAGTGCAGGGATATCACCCAGGCCGAGTTCAAACTGCAGGATCAGCAAACACACACACACACACACACACACACACACACACACACACACACACACACACAGCACAGCACATTTATCTCAGGAAACCTTTATTTTTGTATGTCTTTGGTTTTTTTCCCATACTAAGTACACACTCCACAACTTATCAACACCCCTATCCATCTCAAAAACCTTTGCACCAAATATATTTTCAATGAAATCTGCATTAATATGAAGCCTTATTCCAACTGCCACTACAATGTCTATATATGACACCTGTCTTTTGAGCAGTAAATTTTAGAAATGCACAATTCAGTAAGTAGTTAAGCTATATAAACTTACTAGTATACAGTTCATATTTGCTGAATAGAATATATAAATCTCATGTATGTACATATATATATTAGTCTTTTGAGAAAAGACAATTTATTTGTAAGATAGTACAGCTTTTACTACTTAGTCTTTTGAGAAAAGACAATTTATTTGTAAGATAGTAGATCTTTTACGGTATCAACTAGTTGTATAACAGGATTTCATATCAACGAGTTCATGGATATATGTAATGCTTCTTGGTCATGATTGCCTCTCTATTATTTTCCCCTTTCCCAAACCTGCTTGTAAAGCAAGCAATTTATATATGTTTATATCGAAGACAAAACATCCTGAAAAAAATCCTATCTCCATCAAACATCAAAAATTCTTGGCAAAATACTTTTAAAATAACTTTTATTCATGTTTAAGCTGGAGAGGAAGTAGGCAAGATTTTTTAATTAAAAAAAGCCAAGTGGAATAATTAGAAACTATGCCATACATGGATAAATCACATTAAAATGTGTGTGTATGTATGTGTGTGTGTGTGTGAGTGCGCGTGCACGCACGCTCCTGAAGCTTGAACTTAGGGCCTGGGCACTGTCCCTCAGCTTTTCTGCTCAAGGCTGGGACAAAGAGCCAGAGCTCCACTTTCAGCTTTATTTGGTAGTCAGTTGGAGGTATTCTTGCCTGGCTGGCTTCGAACTATGATCCTTAGATCTCAGCCTTTTGAGTAGCTAGTATTACAAGCCTGCATCATTGGCTCCTGGGTGTATTAAAAAATTTAAACCATCTAGCTGAGATTAGAAACAGTATAGTCAAATATAGACACAGCAAGTTTGAAATAAAATAACAGAAATTATTCCTGAGATAACTGAGTGAAAATAAACAAGGACATAAAGCCCCTGGTACAACATTTAAGAACAGAAGCATTATTAGTAATAAAGAGCATAACTTAGTATTTAAAAGTTTTACTTTTTTCATATATGTTGTATGTGTGAAGTATTTCATATTAAAAGAGAAAAATCCACTTTTATCTCAAGTATCATTGAATAGAAAGTGAACTATATTTAGAATTGAAAAAGATGAATGCATTTAACAGTGGTACAATGTAAATAGAATCAATCACCTTTGTAATTAATTTTACAAATAGATGCATATATTTAATGATATGCTAATGTGGTGAAGTAATGTATCATTTCCATTTTGTTGATTTTAGTCTGAGGCTTGCTTTTACTTTCTACTTGAGCACACCATTGTAAAACTCACATCCTTTAGCTCTTATCCTGAGCTCACAAAAAGATGACAATAAATATGTTCAACTCACAAGTTAAAGGGTTTTTTAAAATCATGAAACTGTTCGTTGATTGCAACTGATTTTATTAACGAGTTTTTTTTAAATCATGAAACTTGTTAATTGCTAGACAGGGTCAACTTTTGATTGCAGCTGATTCATAATATGTGAATAAAATCTGCCAATGGAAAAGCAAAAGTGACACCAGTACACTCATGTCACAAAACTTCTACATATTCTTTGTGTTCAAGGATCCTTCCATTCAT